GGGTGGATGGATGGATGGGTGGATGGATGGATGGATGGATGAATGGATGGATGGATGGGTGGATGGATGGGTAGATGGGTGGATGGGTGGATGGATGGATGGATGGGTGGATGGATGAATGGATGGACAGAGGCATAAATAGAAATGGATGGATGCATGAAAAGATGGAGATTCACAGGTGAATCCTGTACGTCCTAGACCTTCCTAAACACTCTGACAGGCTCTTCCAAATCCCATTTCCTCCACTGCTCCCTGTTCATTCTCCGACGTTCTTAACCAATCTGTTCTATTGAGCAACTATCCAATCAGCTCTTTTCCTCATGTGTGTTTCCCGGGCAGCGGGAAGTTCCCTATCCCTGTCCTCATCCAGCAAACATTTTTGAGGAACTATTCAAACAAGGAAGAACGCTGGGGCCCGGGGATCCATCAGTGAATGAAACCGGAAGGTTCTGTGCTTATGTGGAACAAAGACTAGAGTTTGGCTGAAGCAGGCTGGATTGAAGGGCCTTGAGGTCCACCCTACTCCTGATGGTCTGGATTCAAGCCGGCGAGAGCCCAGGGACCACCGTGCCTCTTCATGCCTCCTGTACTGAACACTAGCGTGTGCTAGCTAGGCACTGCTCCAGGCACCTGTGATACTGCACTGAACAGGACAGACGCGATCCTTCCCTTCGCGTCTCCCGCGTGCGACTCACTCTCTCACCCCAGGGCCTTTGCATGTGCTGTTCCTTTGCCTGCGACACTCTGTGCAACCTCACTGGTGACCTTTTCACTTAGCTGCCTTCATTTATTCCTCACCACTCAGCCTCTGAGAGGCCACCTGATCTGCAGGACAGGGTTCTCTCTGGATTTGTGTCCCAACCTGTGTGGCCTCATCTCAAACCCAAACACTCGGTGGTCACTGCTTGGTCACAGGCCCATAAGTTTAGGTTGTAACCTCCCTCTAGACTGTGGGTTTCATGGGGACAGTGGTTTTACCACGCTTGTTTTTTGTCTCCTTAGCACCCAGCGGAATGCCAGGCACATAGTAGGTGCTCAGTCAGTAAATGTAGCTTGCATAAATGAATTGAATCTGTGTCCCTTCCAGCCAGGAAAGACCTCCATGTGATCCTCAGCCCACGTCCTCCTCTCCTCGGCTCCAATGCCATGCCCTGGGGCCAGGCACCCCCACAGCCAGGTCACCCCCACAGCCAGGTCACCCCCTCCCCCGTTACCCACACCCACATATCCCTCACCCGGCCGTAGATCTCCCCTCTCCACCAGCCTTGCTGCCCCCTTTTGTTGAGGATCTTGATGATGTCGCCCTCCTTCAGGGACAGCTCCGATCGGTCCCGGGCACAGAAGTCATAGCGGGCTTTGGCCGTGCCAAAGTACTTGGCGCTCCCTGCTGTGGGTAGAGAAGAGAGGTGGGTGAGGGCGGGGGCAGAGGAGCAAGGAGACGCTCTCAGGAGGCAAACTCCACACTCCTCCGTGCAGGGTGCGGGATGTCCTCGACTCTGCAGGACACCAGCAGCCCAGCACCACGCCCCGGCCCCAGCACAGCCAGGTTAGCCAGGAAGACGGTTGACGGAGAATGTACGATGAGTTTTACAGACCGCCAGCCCTCTGTGTCTGCAGGTCCCACATCTGTGGACCAAACACACAAGAAAATACTCAAGAAGAAAGAATGACAGCCGCGCTGGACGTGTGCAGATGTCCCTCTGGCCATAGTCCCCCAACCGGTGTGGCGTAGTGAGCATTTACGTAGGATGTACCTCGTATTAGGAACTCCAAGTCATCTAGAGATGACCGAGGTGTGCGGGAACATGTAGGTTTTACACAAATACTATGCCCCTTGATAGGAGGGGCTGGAGCATCCGGAGATTCCAATATCCACGGGAGGCCCCAGAACAATCCCCTGTGGGGACCGAGGGTGACTGTACTGTAGGAAAATGGACCAGGAAAAATGATAAAAAATTTTATTCTAGAGTCAGGCACAGTGCACACACCTGTAATCCCAGCGGCTCGGGAAGCTGAGGCAGCGGGATCACACACTTGAGGCCAGCCTCAGCTACTGAGTGAGACCCTATGCCATTTAGCAAGAAATAAAAATATCTATCTATCTATAATCTAGGAGATTATAGACACTAATTCTTCCTTGATATTTATTTATTTTTTAAGATATCCTTAAAAGGTACAGGTGAAGTCCCTACTTCTGGCTCTATCTATCTCAAAATTAAAAGGGCTGAGGATGTGGCTTAGTGGTAAGCACCCCTGAGTTCAATCTCTAGTACAAAAAAAAATCATTCTAGGCTATTAATTTGAATTATCTTAAGGTTGCTCATGGTAAACTTTTCACATTATAAAAGTGAAACTTAAAATATACAGTTAATCTGTAATATTCTTTTTTTTTCTTTTTTTTTTTCAGTGCTGGGGATTGAACCTGGGGCTTTGAGCTCTATGACTGAGCTACATCCCTGGCCCAATTTGTAGAATTCCAAAGATTGAAAATAGATATTTATACAATACACAGACCAAGACCAATATGTAACATGGTATACTGGTGGATGTAAATATAGACAAAGGTACAGATACATAGGTATCACTAGGACAAATAACATGCTGACAGAAACGTTTATTTAATAGGGTGATGAACATAGATGCAATTTTTGTCTTGAAGTGCTGGTGTTATGTTGATATTGCTTTTTCAAGACTACAAGATTTTAACAATAATTGATTTATAAATCCATCCTTTAAAACTGTTTGGACATGTAAGAATTCAGAGACTATTCTACCCACGTATATTTTTCTGAAAAAAAAATATACTGCAGGATGCACTCCAGCAAGATGAAATGTGAATCTGAATTAAAATTTCAAAAATAAAGAAAAACATGGAAAACAAACACAGATGGGATCTAAATAACTCTTGATACTGTATCTGTGAAGAAATGCAATTACTAAGAATAGACTCCTACAGTATAGATCCTACTTATCTTAACATGAAACAAACCGTATCCAACAATTCCTCCTAATTTCAACAAATCTGGTAGGTGAGATGCAAAGGAAGAGGAAGTAAAGCGGTGCCATCAATCTTGTCTTATGGGGGAGGAGATCACAGACACTAATTCTCCCTTGATATTGATTGTTTTAAAGATAGCCTTAACAGGTGCAGGTGAATCCCCTTCTGGCTCCTACTATCCTCATCTTCCCAGACAAAAGTAATCCCACTTCACCTTCCATTCCAGCAAAGGAATGTGCAAATCACTCAGAGTGGACAGGCAGGCAGGAAGGAGTTCTGCTGTCCCACAGGTCTGCCCCCTGACTGCCCTGGGAAGGGAGGTGCGTGCGTTCCTACTCTTGCCCTCCACCCTGGGAAGGGCTGGAGCTCCAGGGCCCCACCTGAGGCGCCTACCTGCTGGTTTGCTGATGGCTCTCCTCTCGGGCTCCTTGTAGGGGAACTGCAAGGTGGTGTCCAGGGACTTGAAGCAGTCCTTCAGGGAGTTCTGCTGGTAAAATTCCACCAGCTCCTGCAACGGGAAGGGCGTGAGATGCTGCCACCGCTGGCCAGCCCCCAGGAGGCCGGTCTGGGGTCCCCTCCTGGACTCCCTGGTAGGCAACTCCTTGGATTCTCCCCATGGTGGGAAGCTCGGCTGGGCAGCCAGGGCCACGGTACGGGGAAGAGACCACCTGGCCTAAGGCCGGTTCCCCTTACGGCCCATGACTCCCCTTCCTGTGCTGTCCTGATCCTTACAATTAACAGTGACACTAACCGCTGTGGTGTGGCGCCCATGGGCCAGCCAGGGTGCACACCACGCCTCAGCAGGTCCTCCTGAGAACCCTGGTGGTGGACAGCTCGTGACCCTTCCATGTTGTACATGGAGACCTCAGTCACAGAGACTGAGCAGGCAAGTTCTCTTGCCTTCCGCCTGGAGGAGAAGGCCCTGGATCCAACCCCATCGGGGCAGGAGAGGGTGGGAGCCCAGAGCCAGCCTCTGAGGTAAGACCTCAGATCTGAGTTCAAGTCCCAGCGGCGCGGCTCTTGCACCTCTGCCAGAATGTGCGGGCTGAATCTGATCACCAGGAAACACTCGGGTCAAGACTGAAGGACGCTCTGCAGGACACCCTGCCCGCACTCTGGAGTTCTGGGTTCAAAAAATGCCAACTCCACGAAGGAGTAAGAAAACAAACGAACAAAAGTCCAAGGAACGATTGCAAACTAAAGACTAAAGAGAGCGGAACTGAATGCCACGGTGGTGCCCGATCAGATCCGGGGGCAGCTTGAAAACACAGCCAGGGCGGTGGGAGGTGGGAATGTGGACGAATACGAGAGCGCGATTCCTCACGCACGTCCCACTTCTGAGGGGTGACAGGGATGCGTGGAGAAGTGTGGTGACATCTCGGCTCGGGGGGCTCTCCTGCCAGCGTCACCCTGGGTGAAGGAGACTGTTGCAACCCGCACTCAAATAGTGCAAAGTGAGTGTGAGGCAAAATGGAACCCCGAGCAAATGCACGTGGAAGGGTCACAGATGTTCATCACACTACTCCACAGACCACGGGTCAGAACCACCTGCCTCACACAACAGGTTCAAAATGCCTCAAAGAAGTCATCAAAATTTCAGGGCACCGAACAGACGCAAAAAACGCTCAAAGCATTTGAACCCTCAGCAAAATGGTCACTCAGCAGATGAGGCAGAGCTAACTTGGATGCCAGGCAGAGGTGGCCGCTGCTGGTTTGTGACATGAGACGAAGAGCAAGCTTCAGTTTCGCCCATCTGTGAAGCGGGAACTCCAGGGTGAGCGCCAGGACTGACTGGAGTCCTACTGTGACCTACTGGACCTTAACAGATGCCCTCTACATGGCCATCATCATCATCATCATCATCACTGGCCACTAACAGGGTAAGTTTGAGGCCTTGGCTTCCCTGGAAGGCCCTGGTGGACATGGAAGACGGAGGGGCAGGGAGGGTGCCGACCACGTTCCGGGAGGCCGGGGCAGGGGTGGATTTGCCCTTACCACCAGGCCCCGGAAAGCCTTCTTCTCGGTGATCCGGTACAGTCCTTCTGACGTCATGATTTTGATGTGCTTGACCTCGACATTATACCTGGAACCAGGGAGAGAGAGGACCAGACGGGAGGCCCTGAATCTGGAGTCCCCCGCCGAGCCTCAGCCCCAGGGTGTCCCCCCAACCTCGGAATATACCTCGGAATAGTCTGGCTCCTTCAGGGAAGGGTGAACCTTGTCCCCCCAAACCAGAGCTGCCCCAATGGAATCCCTCCCCCCGGGGGATGGCTCCAAGCCTTCAAGTCCTCCTCACACTCAAGAGGAAGCATCTTCCCTGACGCAGAACCATCGCGAGACCTCAGAAGGAAAGCAGTGTTCCCGAACGTGTGGGGAGAAACCCCACTCCCACCAGTGTGGGGACCAGAAAATACAAAGGACATGGGAGAAGAGAACCGTTTCTGCCAGTAAGGGGCAGGCCACAGAGGAGAAGAACACGGAGGAGACTCCCACTTCCGCCAATATGGCGGCCTTCCTCAAAACCCCTAGAAATTCCTAGGGAAACCCCCAGAGACGAAAATAAAGATGAAACTAAAGTCCCAGCCATGAGAATGAGAGCTGCCCTCGCCGGTTTGCTGATCTTGGTAACCAAGGGCTTGTCTTGGCGACTGGGTGGAAATGGAAAATGAGCCACGGGGCCCACGTGAGGTGGAGAGCTGACGCTCCACCACTGGACCGTCCAAGGAGAGGAACTCCTCCCATCCACAGGGAGCAGGTGGCGAGAAGGCCCAAAGAGGAAAAGAATTCTCGTGTGCATCGGGGGCCTGAATCTAAACCCCCTGTGCGGGCTGGGAGGCCACCCGGGTGGTTTGACCCACGCGTCAACCTAAGAAAAGAAATCTACCTGTTGTGGGTCCCAACACAAGCAAATACAAAACCTCCAGAGACCCAGAGTTAAGAGTGCCATGGATCAGTGGAGATGTAGACCAGCCCAGTCATCGTGGAGAATGGTAAGAAGGTGGCTTAAAGGATTAAAAACAGAACGACCCCGTGACCCAGCTGTCCCACTACTGGCTCTCTATCCTAAGGAAATGAAACCAGCCCATCGGAGACACCTGCACCCAGCTTTACGGCAGCACTGTTCAGAACAGCCAAGGCCTGGAGTGGACAGAGGTGACCAGCGACAGACGAGGAAGCTGTGGTCCACGCACACAGGGACTGGACTCGGCCACTCCCAAGAACAGACAAATGTGGATAAACGGGAGGACCTCACGGTAAGTGAAACGAGCCAGACAGAAAGGCAGATGCCACGTGTTCCTATCCATACGTGGAAACAGAAAATGATGGTCTCAAAGAAGAGAATAGAACGGTGATGACTGGAGACAGGGGCGGGCTGGAGGAGTTGGACGAGGTTCCCCACGGGGCCGGGCGGAGGGTGTAAGTGCTGAAGCTCCACCGCACCGCAGGGAGGACACCGTTGACAACCCAGAGCCTCTGGAGCCTCCACGGGAATCATTTCTCTTTCTTGTGAGTTGCCCATCAAGTAGAAGGAAGGAGAAAGAGAGAAGCACCCAGGGTCCCGCAGGAGCTCAGTCAAGGTGGCCGTTCTTCCCAGGTCACAGGGACATGGGCAGGGAGGGAGGAATTACTTAATGCTGATGGCAAATTCCGCTGTGTCTTTCACCCTCTGCCGCACCAAGAAGGTCCCGTCGGAGCGGTTGGTGAGGATGTTCTCTGCGCCCGCGCGCTCCATGGGGCCAGCGTACCTGCGGAGACACACCAGGGACGGGGCCACGGGGCGGCCACCTGTTAGCTCTGGAGGCTGCCTCCCCCACCCACCATGCTGTGTTGAGCAGGCCGGTGAGTCCAGCAGGCCTCAAACCCCACACCAAGCCCCACGGGGGCCATGCTGAAGCCGTGGGGTGGGCACTGGCCATCAGGCTGTGCAAATCACCCAAGGTTTGACACACGGGTTACAGGGGACAGTTCAGCCTTTGGGGTCTGGCTGGTCTCTGTAATTTGGCCATTACTGGCATTTTGCTGGGTGCCCACTGGATGTCCATCTCTGTGGTGACCAGGATGGAAGTAGGGTAGAGAGACTGAGGCACCCACCTCGGGTGCGAAAAATCCCAGTCACAGATACATAGTAGTGAAATAGTATTTTAATGCAACATTGTAAAAATCAAAAAAAAAAGAAAAAAAAGAAAAATCAGCCATAAAAAGTAATGAAGTGCGGACAGGTGCTCCGTAGCAGGTGCACCGGAAACGTCCCGCTCAGTGTCATGTGTGGGACTCTACAGACAGGAAATGTCCAGAGCAGGGAAGCCTCGGGAAAGGAAGTGGCTCCTGGGTGCCGGGAGCTGGGGAATGGGAGTGACCGTCAGCGGGCACGCGTCCTTCTCGGGGCCAGAAAATGCTTTGCAACCAGACAGAAGTGGTGGAAGCGCACCAGTGTGTGTGGGAAACACTGAATAGACGTGCACATGTGGACCTGTTCATGACGTCAATGTGAACACGCAATACGGTAACGTGCTAGCTATGTGCCACATGCAACCAGGTATAACATACACCACGAACTTAAACATACACGCAATATAAAATAACAGTATTTAAATGTAAATGTGCACTATAAATAATAAGTGTTCATTACTTTAGACAAAATATAAATATACTAGCAAATAAATATGATGTGTATTAAAATACATGGTCTGCAATATGCTACAGATGTAAATGTGCAATATAAATAATAAATATTAATTGTTTATAATAGAACAATGTAAATATGGAATACAAATGTAAATAAATATTGTAATAGATGATAGATGTATCATAAAACTAAATGAATGTAAAACCACCACATATGTAAAAATATTAATTATATACTATGTAATTATATATAATATATGATGATTATAAAGGTAATATAAGATGTTTAATGATATGAGATAAAGGTAAATATGTAATATAAATAATACATGTCGATTACATAAAATATGTAGTTATATGTGATATATGACAATGTAAGTAGGTAATATTTAAATACTAATTTTATGAATTTAGCTAATTTTCTGAATTTCATCTTGGTTATTTTTTTCTAATGAGTGCAAAAAAGTCCATGATGACTAAAACAGATTGTAGGGGACAGCTGTTGCTTGGAGTTCTGTCCTGGTGATCTTGAATCCTGTGTTTTCAATTTTCATATTTTGCTCATTGCAAATTTTCTGCCTTGTTTTTGATTTTCTAAAATGTCGCATTAGCATATTAGGTACCTTCATCTCGTAAACTTTGGGCTCCACCCTTGGATTTTGCAGCCCAGGTCAGCCTGGGTCATCGACTCGCCCTAGTCCCCACCGGCCAGCGCAACTGCAGACCCGGTTGGAATCCAGACTCGGGTGCTTGCTGTAAGCACTGGGGGAAGGGCTGTGCCATGCTAGACCAAAACTTCCTTTTTTGAAAAGAGGGGCATTCCGCAGAGGGGTGTTTATGGCAAGTGGCAGTAATAATGCACAAGACTCAGGAGAGGGAGAGGGCTGGCGCTCACTGCTGGGACCCCCAGAGCCAACATCCTGCAGCCTTGGGTTCGAACCTCACCCCCCTCGATTCCTCCACGTGCAACACCAGATAAATCACTTCCCACCTGAGCTCCCTCTGCAACAAAGGATTTCTCCTCAGCCAACAGGGGAGTGAGAACTGCCTGCATTTCAAGGGGTTATTGTGGGAATTAAGTGAGCTCATTAAAGTGCTGACGCAGGGTCATAAAAATAACCCCACACTGCGGCCAGCCTGCCTGGGAACCATGGTAAAACGCCCATCCCTTCGCGTGCTGCCCACAACGTTAGGCAGAAGTCCCAGACCACGGCGTCCAAGGCCTCCCCCAATCAGAGGTGTTCAAATGCAGGGGGAGGATGTTCGCCTCGGAGGGCGACAACCCAGCTAACGCTTGGAGAAGCGCCGGGACAGGAGTAGAAGGAGTTTAACACGGTGCAGCAGATCCCGTTACCAAGCTGCTTCCCAAAGAGGGAAACTGAGGCTCAGGTCAGCTTTACAGCTGGGCACGGGATTTGAACTCAGGTTAGCAGGATCCAGGAGCCACACCTGCTCAACATCCAATACGTGGGCAAAATAAAAATGAAATCGGAGGGAAGGAAACTGCCGATACCATCATCATCATCATCATCGTCGTCGTCGTCGTCATCGTCGTCTCACTGTGACTACTTTCCTTCCGTAAACTCCAGGTCGGGAGCTTGCCCTGTCTGTCCCCACCCCAGCAGCCCTCAGCCCAGGGCCGGACTCTCGGGTCAGCAACCAGGGTTCAGAAGACAAGGAGCTGATTGGCCTGGGGGCCCCTCCCATGCCCGCCTGGGGCCCTGCCCCCGAAACCCCGGGTTGAAAGTAAGGATGGGGTCCCACTTACCAGAGATGGACAGACAGGTCCTGAGGAGGGCCCTAGAACAGAGACAGACACCAACTCAGGGCCAAGGCCGCCGGGCACCTGCTGCCGACCTTGGTTCACTCCCTCACTCACGCCACCGGCACGGGTTCCGACAATCATGTGCCAGCCACGGTGCCATTCACCGGGATCAGGGGTGCTGGCCCGGCACAGGCAGGGGAGGGGTCCTCCTCCCACCTGTTTTATCAGGGCCCTCAAACCACGCACAGTGGAAATACTGAGCACCCGGCTCTTTACAGAAAGCCCGTGCCAGCCCTCCATCTAAATAAGTGTGAAAGTGCACACCTCACACCCACCACCAGAAAAAAGAAAAACCCGTAAAACAGCAAATGCTGGTGAGGACGTGGCCACTGTCCCCAGCGCACTGTTGGCAGCAATGTTAACTGGAGCAGCCTCCGTGGAAAACCGCTGGGTGGCTCCTCAAAAAATCAACAGCCATAATTGCAAGGTCTCCCAGAGATCTCTGCACACCCAGAGTCACCGCAGCATTGCCCACCGTGGCCGAAGGATGGCACAACCAGGTGTCCAGGGTGGAAGATGCGATCGTCCACACCCTGGGCTGTTACTCAGCCGCCAAAAGGGAGGAAGTTCTGACACCCACAACGTGGGTGACCTGTGTTCACAGGGACAGGCGGTCCCCAAGGAACAGCTACTGCAGGGTCCACTCCCAGGAGGTCCCCAAAGTCGTCAGATCCAGAGAGACAGAAAATAGAAGGGCGGGTGCCGGGGGCAGGGAGGGGACAGGGGTTAGTGTTGACTGGGACGAGAAAGTTCTGGAGCTTTGTGACATGTGACATGCTCAGTGCCACTGGATCATTGGCAGTGGTAACTGAAGGATGATTAAGTTGTTAAATGTGCTGCGATGTGTGTTTTATAGGAGGACCTACCACCTCTGCTGAGTTTTAAGTGCTTTTTATCACCCCAGAAGACACCCCAGGCCTGTCACCTCCTCCGCAGTCAGCCCCCTGGGGCTCCAGGTGACTGCCAAGTCACTTTGTGTGTCTGCGCCCTTACCTGTTCCAGAAAGCTGGAACCCAATAACCACAAGTGAACCGAACTTCACTGAACTCTTCACTGGGAAACACTCAACTTTATGTTGTGCAAAGTTCACCTCAAATGTTGAATAAGGAAGATGAGACGTTCCAGTCCAGTGACAAGGAGGGGCAGGTTAAGGTGGGGGGTCGGGTGGCAGAACAGCGAGTACTGAGCCTCTGGGGGAACTGCAGGGAAGCAGGAATGCACATGCAGACCTACGTGTCGTGAGGTGGGTAGCAGCGGAGGCTGGGGACCTGGGTGGAATGGACAGTGGTAATTTGCTGTATCTATTCTCAGAGCCTTCGGTGTAACAGGAGAGGAGGCCACGGGCAGTCTCATTTGGAGGCAGAAATTGGAGAGGTGCCCAGATTCGGTTTCTGAATACGAGGCCCCATGACAAAGCACCTTGGAGAAAAGGTCAATTCCAAGACTGGGACCGGGAAAGTTCCAGATGGACCTGGTACTGTGTCAGAAAAGAAGGACATGCTCAAAAAGTGATGGGGACACGTCAAAAGGACAGAGGGACCAGCCTGACAGGGCTCCTGCTGGGACAATTTTAAAGTAAGAATCCACAGCTATTCCTCATAGATGATTGATGGATGGAGTGATTTGCTGATTGACAGGTAATGGATAGTAGGTAGATACAAGATTGACTAGATGATTGACAGGTAGGTAATGGATAATAGGAGACAGATAAATGGTGGATGGACGGATAACGAATGGAAAGATAGAGATGAATGATGGATAGATAGGTGATTAACAGATAAAGGACAGGTTGATGGATAGACGGGTAGATAACAGATAGATGGATGATAGGTATGAATGGGTAGATAATAAGTGGGTAATTGATGATGATGAGAGAGAATAGACCAGATGGATGACAGAGGGGTAGGCAGACAATAGATGAAACAGATAACAGACAGACAGACAGACAGGGAGACAACAGAAGGATAGTCAGGCAAATGGGGATAGAGACAAGCTTCCTTACAGCAGACGACCCGCCGATAAATTTGGAAAGATTGATGAGGTAGGAAGCTCACAGTGTAATTTGACAGTGGAGAGATCACAGGACCCCAATCTCTCTATGACATTTTTAGGGAAACTGACAAAATCTAAACAGACAATGAACTAAATCAGATTATAATGTACATCCTTCATTCTTTTTAAATCACGCTATGGTTCCATACAAGAAGGTTCCTGGTCTCACCAAGTATTAGGTAAATGGAAAATAAATCCACAAACCTACTTTTAACTGTTTCAGGAAAAACAGATAATACATGTGTAGATTCGCACCAGGAGCCCCTGAGGTCACCCAGGAGCCCCTGAGGTCACACGTGAGCAAGTTGGGGGGGTAAGGCTGGCCGGGGTCATTTCTGGGACTGAGGGAGGAAGGGGTGTCCGAGGTCTGGGGAGTACGGCAAAGGTGCACAGCAACTGTAAAGAGTGAGCAGGGAAGAGCCGCGAGGACGGGGGACAGGTCTGTCCATCCAGAGTGGACAACGTGTCTTCAGGACTCGATTCAGCTCTCCAAGGGAAGCCAGGACGGGGCCACCTTCTGGACCCCTCCTCCTTCCCGCGCACCTGATGAAGGAGCCCCCCCCCCAAAGAATCCCGGGGGAGGGGCTGATCTCCCTCCTGGCCCCACTCTGAGGTCACCTGGCGGGCAGCAGGGCAGTGAGGGATGACCCACCCCGATGGTCCTCAGGGGGTCCTCCCACGTCTGCCCGCCCCCAGGGCCCTCTGTGGCCCCCCTGTGGCCCCCGCCCTCATTCCGTCCAGGCCGAGGTACTCACGTGCACGTAGGGCTTCACCCTGTGGCAGGGAAACCAGCCGACTTCGTTGGTAGCTGTATTCCTGCCCTAAAACACGAGACAGAAACACGGGCAGAGCTCATTGCTGTGTGTGTGTGTGTGTGTGTCCACCCCTCTGCCTAGCGGCCACTCTGCTTGCCCATCTACCTCTGGATGGCCCAGGAAGGTACCAACCATATCAGCTTCCTGGCCAACTCACAAGGACCACCCCTGGAAACTGCGTCCACGTCCCCACCCCAGGCACCATCTCCAGAGTCCTGGGAGACAGGACCCTGCTCCCCAGGGTCACCTGCACCCCTGGCCTCCCACAGGGTCCCCCGTCACCCCAGGGCCCGAGCCGGTACCTCCCACCAGTTCTGCTCAGCCTCGGCCTTGGTCAGCTCCACGATGTCGCCCGGGCTGAGGCGGAGAAAAGGCCCAAAGGCTCCGGGAGGCGGGGGCAGCCCGTAGTACTCCTGAAACACCTCCATCTTAGGCAGGCCTGGGGACAGGAAGGGGGGCACGGGTGAGTGGCACGCAGGACTTCCAAAGCTGTCTCACCACCCACCAAAGCAGTTGAGAGTAAAAGGACCAGCAGCGCCCAGGGGTGGCAAGGATGTGAGAAACTGGAACATCTGTGAACTGGGATGAGCTTCACTTCAGAGAATGGCTGGGCAGGATGTCAACAGCTAGGCCAAAAGCTAAAGCCAACCCACGTCCACCTGGGGCCCAGCAGTTCCACTGTCACTCACACCCAAGAGAAATGAAAGCATGTCCCTTGGAAGTCAGGAGCAAGAATGTTCAGAGCATTTATTTGCAATGGCCTCAAAGTGGCAACGAACCCCGTGTCTTTAATAAATAGGATGGATAAACAGATTGAGATATGGTTCTACGACGGAATATTACACAGCAGTGGAAAAGCATGAGCTACTGCTGCAAGCAACCACATCAATGAATCTCAGGGACTTTGTGTTGAATAGAAGAACCAGATGCAAAAAGAACATACATGAAACCGCCCAGGGCTTCATTGCTAGGAAATCCAAAGGCAGGCCAAGCTACTCTACCACGAGGGGTAAACAGTGGCCCTCTCTGGAGACATGGTGCTGACCAGCAATGCTGTCTGACAAAGTGTTCTGTGGTGATGAAGTGTTCAAACTTGTGCACATCAGACAGGGTAGCCACCAGCCACAGGTGACAGTTGGCACCTGAAGTGCTAGTCTGAGTGAACAAAGGTTAACGCTATTTAAGGGCAACTCATTTTATTTTATACTGGACAGTCCCGTTTTGAAATGATGAAAATGTTCTAAACCTTGATCTGATTGCTGACCTCATGGTCATAAGTTTGCTGAGCCAAACACTCCAGACTGATTCCCTCTTCGCCCCTCACAGCATGTGTCTTCTGTCTTGGTGCAAAGCATATAGGCGCTGAGGTATGGCTCAGTGGTGAGCGCTTGCCTGGCACGCCACCCTCTTGTAGGGGTAAAGGACCAGAGGTGGCCCAGCCAGCTGAGACTATGGTGTGGCTGGGGGGAAAGTCAATAAGAAAAGAGGGTCCAAGAGAAAGAAGATTTTGTTGTTGTTGTTGTACTGGGATTCAACCCAGGTGCTTTACCACTGAGCCACATCCCCAGCCCTTTTTTGTATTTTATTTAGAGACAGGGTCTCGCTGTGTTGCTTAGAGCCTTGCTTAGGCAGGACTTGAACTCGAGGTCCTCCTGCCTCAGCCTCCTGAGCTGCAGGGATTACAGGGTGTGCCACCACACCTTGCTAGAAAGAGGATCTTAATCAACTCTGCCGCGGTCCTTCACAGCAGCTGAGCAAAGCCAGTAAAGAAATCGCGTTGCTCTTTCTGAAGGGCCCTGGGTGTCAGTTCCTTGGGACTGGAACCCGGGGTCACAGTTATGAGCCAGGCATGATGTGAGCATTGCATGATTATCAAGATCAGTACCTGGGTCCACACCCCTGGAGCAGAGGCCAGCTTTCCTGCCCTCCCCCGGCGCCCCCTGCCCACTCACCGAGTTCACTCCTTTTTCTGTCCTGAGCCCTTCGATGCAGCTTATCCTGCAAGGAGAGAGGGAGAAGGCCAGCATGGCCCTTAGTGCCCAGCTGGGACCCTCAGCCCATCGCTGCCTCCCCAGCAGAGGACAGTGCCCACGGCTGGGGTCTCCTGGGTGCTGCCCCCTGTGGTTTCCCAGTCCCAGAAGGAAGCAGGTGTGTGTGTGGGGGTCTCACCTTCCTCATAGTTCCGGCACAGTCTACGGGAGGAAAGGAAAGGGTTAGGGTGGGGAACCCCCCACGGAGAAGTGAGCCCACCTCCCCTGCTCCTCCCGCTGGTACCTTGCCCGTGTCGGCCGCACGGAGGGACCCTCCCCAGACACTCCTTGTGTGCAGGTGCGCGGCACCGACTGCAGCGGTAGCCCTGGTAGAAGGTGCCTCTGGAATGCAGAGGGAGGTGGGGGGAGTCGGCACCGTGGACGGGCACGCTGACCATGCTGCCCACAGCGCGCGTCCTCGCCAGAGGCAGAGGGACAGGTCAAGGCGGGGCCTCCCAGGATGGGGGGCTCTAGAGGGGAAGGGGCTGGCCAGCCTGGGCCCTGGGCCCCCCAGCGCCCACCTGAGCAGCATCTGGCAGGCTTTGCAGGAGGTGGTCTCCTCAAAGGAGAACATCTGGAAGTCGTGCCCGTTGGCGGCGGCATTCTCTGGGTAGATGTTGGAGCTGAAGGGAGAAGATAAGAGCAGAGAGGACGGACACTTCATCCCTCTGCAGGCTGGACAGTGTCCCCGTGAAGATGGCCCGCCGGGTTTGTCGGCTCATCCGCAGGTGGATCTCCACCTCTGCCTGTGCTGACCAGTGGGGCTGGGAACGTGCGCAGAGACGGGGAGAAGAGCAGTAGTGGCCAGGGGCATGGGGTCGCCACTGGGGGTGGGGAAAGGTTTGCAGTGGAGAGGTGACGCCGCACAGCACTGTGAATGCACTAAATGTCACAGAACTTACACTCTGAAATGGTGCAGTTGTTACGTGAATTATATCTCTGTAGGAGGAAGAAGATGACGATGATGGAGGCGAAGAATGAAAGGAGGAGAAGGAAGAGGAGGAGGAAAGGAAAAGGGAGAGGAGGAGGAGGGAGGAGGGGGAGGAAGTAGAAGAGATTTCTAAGCTGAAGCTTCACAGAACCTTCACATGCTGAGGTTGAATGAACCTGGAGACCCTGCTTCCCATTTTCCAGATGAGGAAACTGCAGTTCAGAGTGGTCGCATGGCATGTCAGGACAGAGCAGGGATGAGAGCCCAGCCCTGCACATGCAGGATGGAGTCCTCTGAGGACAGAACGAGGGAGGGGAAGGGGGACTCACATGGCCATCTCAAACTGCTCCATCCACTTCTTCTTCAGCTCTCGAGTCTTGAAGAACAGCTCATAGCCCTGGGCGCCTTGGTCCTCGATCAGGAGGAACATGTGGCTCCACTGCAGAGAAGAGCTGGGACTGAAGGCTCCGTCCCTGCAGAAGAGGGGGCCCTGCGCCCATGATCCCCTCCCCCACAGGGACAAAGGACTGTCTCTGCCCTCGAACCCTGCCCTCCTACCCTAGTCAAGGGCTGCCTGGGATGTCCGAATACACACGCACAACCACAAGCCACCCACACACACACCCCACAGAGATGTCATTCATCCATCAGTTACTCCAGAGCATTTGCTGGGAGATGAGACACCTGCTAGGGACCTGGGGACAGAGCACTGAGCAGGACCTGCCCCTGGACTCCAGCCTGGAAGGAGAGACAGACCCACAGGCTGGCAGGTTCAAGAGAGCAATTAGCACCGGGAGGGAGACAGGGAGATGTGGGGAACCCCGAAACAGAGAACCCCGAAACAGAGGAGCAGCCAGGGAGGGGGAGCTTCCAGGAGGAGGGAGAAAGGAAAGGGAAGAAAGAGGGCCAGCAGCAGGAGGGACAGCAGCCACAGACAGCACCCTGGCCAGCGGGCTCTGGGAAGACAGCCCCTCCACCCCGCCCCATTCTTTGTGGAAAGCATCGCTTTTTCTTGCTTCCTACAAGAATGGAAGCACCACAGGAGAAGGATGGTAGCTGCTTTGTTTTAGGTTTTAGCCCCAGAGCCCCAGAGCCAGGTTTTAACCCTGCAGGATGGGCCCTGGGCGCTCAGTGGGCTAATGAACAGGGTTCTGCGCGCTGTAGCAATCCCGTGTGCGCACGCGCCAAGCAGTCCCAAGGCCAGTGCCCAGACCCGAGCGGCCCCTTGCAACCCGGAACAGCAGGCGCTAGAGCCCCACCTTCTTGTTTTCCCGGTCTCCGGAGGAGTCATCCCGGATCTGGAAGCTGTGCAGGTTCACAAAGACCTTGAGGTCGTAGGAGTCCCCCCGGCGCTTGCAGATGAGCAGAGCCTTGTCCAGCAGGAACGCATACCTGCGGGTCACGGGCAGCCCCACGGTCTGACCCCTCCCAACCATTGGCACCTCCTTCCTAGCCCCAACCTCCTGTCCCTCTAGCACTCTGACGTCCCTCCTCCTCCTCCTCCTTGGTCCCTTTGGCCAGGGCCACTGTCACCCTGACCTCACTCACTTGATCGGCACTGGCCCAGCCACCTGTCAGTCTTGGCTCTACCCACCCACCCGTCCTGGCTCCACGCGCTGGTTGGGGGACCCCATCCATCTTTCTAGAAATCAGACTCCACCCCCATCCCTACCAGGCTCCTCCCCAAATCCATGATGAGGCCAACCTCCAATAGGAATCCGGGCTCCTGGGTTCTAAGCTGGTTCCCCCCACCTTCCCTGTCCCCTGCCCCAGCTCCACCCCATCCAAGCTGACTCCGCCCACCTAGGAACCTGCCCCTCCCCATCCGGCTCCACCCAGACCCAAGCTGACCCCACTCACCTGTCCGTCTTGGTGCGCCTTTCCACGGAAGTGATCTTCAGCTCCCCGTCGATCTTGGGCCGGCCAAAGTTGGCCAGAGACTGGCCCTGCGCAGCACACAGAGGGTGACCACCAAGAAGGGGACAGACCCCTTCCCATGTGACCACAACCCCGGCCCAGCCTTCTCCACGCCCTCACCAGGTTCTCAATGGACAGCTGGAAGTGGGTGATCTGCCGCAGGGTCTCGTTGTCCCTCTTGACCTCGTTCACGCACTGCGCCAGGTCCTGGGGGGGGGCAGGAAAGAGTGTGGCTTCACACACACACACACACACACACACACACACACACACTCACACACACAGCCTGGTCCTTTACCTGGGTCAGCCCCCAGTAAGAGGCTCACAGAGAGTTTCCGCAGCATGCGCCACGGTCAGGCCCACACCCCACTCACCCTCATGGCGTCCAGGGCCAGCCGCAGGTTCTCCTTCTCCACCGTGTCCTGCGTATGCTTCACCAGCTCCTGTGGGAACCAGAGTCAGGCTTCACCTGGGCCTGCCCACTGCTGGGGGGGCTTTCAAACTGGGCTGGCCCACGAGGTCCTCCTCCATCCTGCTCTCCCTGGAGGCTGGGATGTACCCAGATGACCGACCCCAGAGGGCCCTGGCGCCCCAAGCCCGGGAAGCCAGCCCCAGCGCCCCACGGAGAGCCTCGAGGACCGTCTGGTGCTGGCACCTGGAGAAGGAGGTGGTACTTGAGCACCCGCTGCATGGGCACCATGAGCAGGTCCCGCAGGGTGAACCTGCCGTTGTTGGCGCGCTGAGAACATTCCTGGGGGACAGAAAACAAAGGTGTGAGGGATGGGGGGGACCCTGGGGGCCAGGATGAGCCCAACGCAGGGGACTGCAGCGGACAGACGTGAATGAACACTCGGCACCTCTCCACCCAGAGCTGGGCGAGTTTCTAGCGAGGGACCACCAGAAGGGGTCATCATCGATCCCCACGGGGAAATGAAGGGGCCGGCCAGGAGCAGCTGAAGAGCATGTCAAGGGCGGCCAGTGCTGCTGGGCCAGAGGCCGGGCACTCTGCCAGCTGAGAGGGCCGAAGGGGAGGGGGCCCGCCTAGAGGGTCCCCAGCCTCATCACCCCACCCTCTAGACACTAGACACACAGGTCCCCTCAAAGGTTCAGCTCAGGATAGGGCTCAGTGGGAAGTTCAGCCCCACGTGGGACATGGTGCTAGGGCTCACTCGGGGCTGACGGTCAGCTTGGGGTCAACATTTGGTCCAGGGTCAGGATTTCAGCTGAGGCTGGGTTCCGTGAGCTGGTCCATGTCTGCCCTGCTTCATCTCCTCCCCTTGGCTGCCCAGAACATCCCTCCCCGGAACCTTGACAGATCCCCAGTTGGAAAGTGGAGCCATTTCCAGCTCAAAGAGAAGAACCCCCCAGAGGCAGCCCAGCCCCCACCTCCAGCTTCATCTGCACGTCCTCCCGGGCTGTGGCCACTTGGTCCAGGTGCTTACTGGCAGACTCCACCTGGCTGCAGTAGCGGCCGTAGACTAGGAACCTACAGGAAGAGGCAGGCCAAAGGGTAAGGGCAGATCCCCGAGCCTCAGTTTCCCCATCTGTAAAGTGGCCCTAACACAGCACCTACACACAGAGTTAGTGTAACATTAAATGAGATAATGCACATGCAGCTTTTAGCAGAGAGCCTGACTTTAGTCTCTGCCCGATGTTCATTTATTTAGCAAACACTTATTGAGTGCCTACTGTGTGCTGGGCCCTGTGCTAAGCGTTTTATACCTTTATTTATTCAACCTTCCCTACAACCAAGTGAACTCTGATTTACAGACAAGGAAGAAGCAGATGCACAGAAAGGTTAGTAGCTTCCCAGTATCACACAGCAGAGCTGGGAACTGAACCAGAGATGGGAAGTCCCTGCCTGGTCTGATGGCAAGCTCTCCCCAAGCCCCACCCGGGCAGGGCAGGGACTCCCAGGGCTCTGATCTGGCCAGCTGGGTCTCACCTCTCCTTGTATTTGATGAAGACTTGGTATAGGGTGGGTGATCCCGGGGTGGCCAGGGCCTCCTTCATCTCCTTTAGGAAGAGGGTGTGCACACGAAGCAGGTCCTACTTGGAGGAAGGGGCGAGGACTGGGGTCAGAGCCTGGGGCTCGGGACGGGGCAGGTCAGGTGACACCCGTGGATTATCCTCCGCTGGGGACAGAGGCTCAAGAGGGCCGGGGATCAGCGGGCTCACCTCGATGTTGACAAAGATGTTCTCCATGTCCTGGGGCGTGAGGAACCGCTGCAAGGGTTTCATGAAGTGCTGGGAAGCGGGAGAGAGGAAGTGAGGGAGGCTGAGACCCTCCCCCGGGCAGCCCCCGGGGAGACGCGGCCAGAGACAGCAGACAGAGATGCGCAGGCAAGAGACAGATGAGACACAGAGGTGGCCAACGTCCACCCCGGAGCTTGCGCCTGAGTGTTCCGAGCAGGGTCTCATCCTAGCCACACACAGACTGTGACGCCGGGGTCGGTGGGGGTGGACTTCCTTGGGAGATGATGGGAGTGTTGACAGTTGATGGCCCAGGGACAGGGCACCGGGCTCATAGCTCACCCTGCCTGGGGTGCTGCGGGGGCTGGACATGGGGACGTTAATTAAGTCTCCACTGGCTGCTTGACCAAGGACAGAGAAAGGAAAGACAGACAACAAAGAGAAAGACAGACAGGAACGGAGAGGGGAAGCCACCAGGTGCCGGAAGCCCCAGGCGGGTTAAAGGACACTGCGGAGACAGCCACGCTGAGGAGGGGGGACAGGAGAACCAGGGACAAGAGGAGGACGCAGAGAGAGGTCGCAGGAGGAAAGGCAGAGGCCGCCGGGCCACCTGCTGGATGGAGCCCAGGGTGTCCGTGTACTTCTCCTCCGTCTGCTGGATCTCCCGCAGGCAGCAGCAGCGCTTGTCGTACTCCGTCATCTTGGGCTGCGGGCGGGAGGACGGCGGGTTGGGAACCGGGTGGCCCCCGCTGCACCCGTGACCCCCACTGCCCCCCGGGCGCCCCTCGCACCAGCATGGGCACGGGCTCCGAGCGCATGAGGTCCTCGTAGATCTCGTCGCCCTCGGCCTCCTCGTTCTCCACGCAGTCGTACAGGTCCTCGTCCTCCTCCGCAGTGTCGCTGTGGGGCTCCGAGTCAGGCGGGCCACCAGCCCCCAAGCCAGGGACCCCTCGGACCCCTCTGTATCAAAGCTGTGTCCCCTCGTACCCCCCAGCCCAGGGCTGTGCCCAACGTAGGGCAGGACGGTGTCCCTCAGACCCCCAGAGACCCCGGGGCAGAGCCATGTCCCTCAGAGCCCCCCCCCC